GCTCCCCACTCTGTCTCTGGTGAATCCTCTCACCCTCCGCATCTCTGGCCTGTACCCCAGTTCTGTATGAATAAATAAATCTTTAAAAAAAAAATCTTAGAATAAAGGAATATTTTTTTAAATTATTTTGGAAGTAAACATGTACTTACTATTTGTTAACTTTCTCCCTGATCTCCAACTGTTTTTGAATTAGTGATAGTTTTTTGAGTACAGAAAAAATACATATTTTATCAATAAATAGTAACTTTGTCAATAAACAGCATCCCTATTACAGAAACCAAGAAATGCCTATACCACAAGGTCTCATTTTCCTGAATTGTTATTAGATTCAGAGTTTTGGATAAAGGTTGAATTCTTCCCTATACAGATTGCCTTTATATTCTTCACTAGCTCTGTGTAAATATGTTCTGTATAAAAGTATTAAACTTTCTGATTGTGTTGAAACCAGTAAATTCATAGTGGACACAGTTGTTTGAGAAAGTGGGAAGCTTGAGGCAGAGTGACAGGGAGCTTTATCCCGTGCTGTGTCTGAGAGGACAGCAAGCCCAGTATCCTCAATGGTAAAGCCAAAGGTCTCTTATTGTCACTTCTAAAAATGCCATGTCAGAGATAAGTCCTCTCTTGCTCCTCAGAATTGTTTTGTTTTTTTTTTTCAGATGGTACTTCTTTGCTTACAGGACCTATTTACTGTTACTACTGTCCTACATTAATCCCTCCTGGTCCAGTGAATTACATCTCTAAGTAAATCAGAGTACCTCTGAGAGCAGGATGAATATACATTTGTGATACATCTGGAGTTTTAAAAGCATGGAAGGATGGCAGTCAGGTAGTAGTCACCATCCTTGGCACCCTCACTGGAATATTTCTGGTCAGCAACTAACCACAATGGATAACATTGACATCCAAGGTTGAGATTTCTAGAGTTTTTTAGAGTAGCACCATCCTGACCTAAGATCCCAGGGTATTGCAGATGGAAATACCAATGGGAATATTCTAGACTCAGTTTAGTGCCTTTATAGAAATTAGGATGAAGAGACAAAATCAAAAGTTGGTGGGTAAAGATTTATTTGGAAGAGAAGGTTGATTGGGTCTTTGTAGGGAGAAATATTTTAAATTAACTGTGTTTGCCAAAAATTGAGCTAGATGTAGGTTTTGAGCAGGATCATGGCCTGTAGGGCTTGCCATATGAGGGTAACTTGGAACCTGTTCAAGTTAGTTGAAAAAATGTGTGTAATATACAGATCCATTGTTTAGGTCCCTCCACTTTCTGGTAAGACTGATGAGAGTGAGTGGGTATAATCTGTTTTTTTTTTTTTTTTTGCTCTTTAGATATACAGTCTTCAAAAAGGAAATATATATAAATAATAACATTTTTTTTCCCCTAAGATGAGGCTTGCTCAGTCATAAAAGGTTTGATAAACTTTGATTTATATTTTGGCCAAAGATATTATGGAAGAATTAAGTGGCAGAGTTGTTTCAGATTTATGAAATGTATTCTTTAAATAGCCATTTAGATATTATTGATGTCATCTGAGAATATCAATTATGTGGTCTATTTAGAGAAATGTTATTACATTTAGAAAACAGTTATAAGCTTTGTATTTTAACATTTTGGAGTTTCACTTAATATTTACATAAAAGATAATTTCCATGATACCATGCTTTATTATTAACTGCCAAGTAATAATTCTTATTTTTATAGTTACTCATTTTATACCTTTGACATGTACTTCACACTGACAGAAGAACCTTCATACAACTTAGTCCTTATTTGTCATGCCTTGATTAGACAGACCGCCCCAACCCCCCCCCCACCCCATGCTTTTTGCAGAGTACAAACTTATTCCCCTTCTCTTAAGACCCCTAGAAATGGGCATATTTGCCACTTTACTATTTTTCTATTGGTTAAAGGGGGTTTATTGTGAGTAAAAAAGCTACTGTCCTCACTCCCAGTCTTTATAAGATTCCCTTGCACAAGCCTCATAAACAATCCGCACTCTATTGCCATCATCATAATACAACTTATAATTCCCTTACTACCTTGTCCTTGTTCTTTCTCCTCCTCAAACATCTTATTTATCTTTGCCTGATAAACCTGTATTTGGCTTTTGTCCATCTTAAATGCCTTTTCCCACAAAGATGTCCTTTGGCCCCCATTTTTATAGCTAGTTTTAATACCTCTTTACTCCTTAATTCTCTATAATGTAGTACTTTGCAAGGTCCCTTAACTGCCTGTTTCTGAGGTAGGTAGTGGGTATTTTTAGAAAGTGTGTAAATTCTTGAGATGGGAGTTGTATTTCTCTTGTAGATACCTACCAGAATACCTGGCAGGGTCAATCATTGACAAATATCAATTGTCACTTTATTGAATATATGACTTATATGGTTATTAGATTGCAATTGTAGGATAATATATAGCTGGTTAAATACCATATCTAAATTCTGTAAAAGAAGTCATCAATGGATTTATTATATGCCATTATTATATCTCCAGATGGGGACATAGGAAAATTCTTCTCAAAGTTAACATTCATATCGATGACATCAACATAGAATAAACTAATAATAAACTCATGATGTGTGACTAAATTAATAAACTTATAGTGAGAGGTGAATAGTTTTGAATAGTTATAGAAACATGGATAAGAATACCAAATATTATGGAGATTTCAAGACTGCAGTTTCATAAATTATTCTTAATCCCAATATAATATTTACTGTTTTTTTTTCTTTTTAATGAAAGAATGATCCCAAAGTATCTCCCAAAGTAGTGATAGGTAAAAATAATTATGACAGTTTTAAAGATAACAAAGGGGCTTAAAGAACATGAAATTATCAAATACTAAGAGGTAATTTTACCACAATTTAATTTCCCTGTAATATTTAAGATGTCTGTGGAAAATACAGAGTTTCAAATAGATCCTTTTATATACAGTAATTTAATATAATAAACATCACAAGTCATTAAAGTTATTGGTTATCTAATAATTAATGAGGGGAAAATTAGCAACTGGGGAAGGGGAAGAATAAAGCTATAGCCTCACTTTGAATCCAAATAAATTTCAGAATTAAGTGCTAAATGTTTAAAATTGAAAATATAATAAAAAATATGTTGGTAAATACAGTACAATCTAAAACTTTTTCTAAACAGTGGAAAAATAAAGATTGATACCACTTGATTATATAAAAATTTAGAATGAAAAATTAAAATTAAAAGACAGTTTAGAGGAAACTATTTGCCATATGTAGACAAAAGATGATTCTTATATAGAAAGAGCTCTTATGAATAAGACATATTTGGCATTCTAATGAAATAGGCAAATGTGAACAAATAAAACCATAAAGATGCACACTTAAAAGTAATGTCAATATGAATTAAGATAATATAAATGAAACATCATGTTGATCATTATCAAACTAGTACTGCAAAATGTAGTACTGAAAATTGGTAAGAGTATAATGAAGTGGATGCATAACTTACTGATTTGCAAATCAGTGTGAACTTTTCTGGAAAACAAAAATTACTGTTTGATCCAGTAATTCCTCTCCTAGTGTCCTATCTTAAAATAATGGAGATGCATATTATAATAGTCATTTCTTGCTGTGTAACAGATTACTCCATAACTGAGTATCTTAACCAACAGATACTTATACTTTGGTTTCTTTGAATCAGGAATCTCTGTGTAGCATAGCTGGGTGCCTCTGACTCAGCTTCTCTCACAATACTGCAGTCACAGTATTAGCCAGGGCTGCAGTCATCTGAAGGCTTGACTGAGGGTAAAACTACTTCCAGTCTCACTCTTCTGGCTTTTGACAGAGCTCAAGTTTGCTATTGACTGATTACTTCAGTTTTTGCAATGGGATCCTTTCCACAGATGTATTAAAACCTGGCTACTTGCCTACTTGAGGGAGAGCTATGACCTAATTTGAAAAGAATATATCACTTCTTCTGTAGTCTGTTTACTTGAAGCAAGCAGAAGGTCCAACCCACATTCTAGGGAAAAGGATCATACAAGGTATGAGTACTAGATTTATTGGGACAGTTTTAGACACTGCTTCTCATCGTTGATATTTTTAAATTTATAATAGCAAAAATAAACATGCATTCATATACACAGAAAGAAACAAAATAAGGGAACAGTCTAAATGTCTCAAAGCAGTATTGCTCAGTTGTGCTACATTCACACTGTGGTAGTATAATGGCATGGATTATGATTTTTTTGTGTGTGTGTTGGTCATTTGCTAGATATTATATAAATATTTATGATCTTAACAACTATGTAAGGTTGTAATTATCCTCGTTTTACAGAAGAAACACACACAGACACACACATACACTTAGAGCCAGAGTAGCTCATTGAGTTCCAGTGACCATGCTACATTTAAGTCTGCTGATACTTAGTGACATGTGGCAGACACACAAAGTTGTTTCTACAAAGTGATTATGTGTGTGCATGTTTTATTTGTATGTAAGGAAAGGTCACAAATGTTATCTTTTAATGATAGAATAATAGAATATTAACATTTTTCTATGTATTATCATTTAAATTTTCTATATTCTGCATGCATTTGCCTTGTGATCACTTTTAAGAATGAGAATGTTTTATGAAGTATTTTAGTTCTCATCTACTCCTGAGGAAAAACCACTAGCAATGATAATTTCACAAAGTGAAATTGAATGTTGCTAAACCATTTCCTCTGATCTACTCTTATAGATCACTGATCTCTCCTTACCCAACTATCTGATGGCGTCTTCGGTTGGACTCCTTCCTACTCAGCTTCTGAATTCTTACTTGGGTACTACCTTGAGGACAATGGAAGATGTCATTGCAGAACAGAGTGTTAGTGGATATTTTGTTTTTTGTTTACAGGTAAGTTTAAGGCAAAAGGTATTTTTCCCCCATTATATCATTGCTTATTTAACCCTAACACATCTTATTGAAAATAATTTAAGATTTTTCTCTTTTATATCTTATCTTGTTCTTTCAAAACTACTTCATATTTTGGTAGTTTTATTTTTAATTGTGGTTATATGGAGGTATAAAGAGTTGTATTGATATTTAACTGAAAATTCTCATAAAAGGGAATAACTAAAATAGTTTTTTGCAGTGATTTTTTTCAAAGTCATTATTAAATGAAATATTCCTGAGTTTGTATGCAGTATTATTAATACTGTTTTTGAAGTTAATTATAGTGAGATTTGGTGGGTGGAGTTTTATCTGTCTTCAGATTATTCAAATCTTCTTATAGTATTTTTCAAACAATGTAATTTTCTAATACAATTTTATATAGAACAAGGCATTTTTTTAGGAATGTATTGCTATTTATAAAAAGTATCCCGGCCCTCCCTGGTGGCGCAGTGGGCTAAAGCGCATCACTGAGAGGCTAAAGCCACTTCTGCATGAGTTTGATTCCCGCCTGCCCGGGAGGTGACCACATGGTGTGACAGACCTCTCCTGACCCGCCTGCTGCTCCCCTCAGCAGTGTACTTCGTCGATCTGCCTGTTCTGCTTCCCACTCTGTCTCTGGTGATGCCTCGCCACCTCTGAGCCTCTGGCCTGTACCCCAGTTCTGTATGCACAAATAAATAAATCTTTTAAAAAAAAAAAGTATCCCATTACAAGCCCAAATAACACTTGTCTAGTGAATCATTGTTGCTAGTATAAGTACATATAATTCCATATAAGAGATTTATGAAGGAGTAAAGGTCCCCACAAAGGGGGGTCCTTAGCCATTTATTCAGTGCCCTTAAATTGCATATAGGAAGAGTTAAAAATTTACTTAGTCATAGTATAGTTAATTCCTGAAATTTACCAAAATATATAATCTCTATAATATTTGAGGATTCAGTAAAATGATGATGATGATGATGATAGTTATTCTTATTTATATGCCTTACATTTAAGCTCATTTGATGCCTTACCAAAACCCTCACAACTGTGTATTTTTATTATCTCCAACCAATTGTGTATATCTCTTCCCACCAGTTTAATAAGTGCTTGCTTGAAATTAGCCATGACAGGAATATTTCCACTATCCAAAATGTCAAGGGCCCCAAGTCAAGCTTCCCATCTCTGATCCCAAGAACTAGAATACCAGTGCCCACTAATAGTAATTTGTCACAGCTTTAAGAGGTAGGATTTGAACTAAGGCTCTGGAGCCTGTGCTCATCATCAGAAGACTATAGTTACTGTGCAGAGGACTAATAGATAGATACACTTACTGACCCCTGAACTGGTTAGTTTTAATTTATTCTGTTATTCAATAAATGGTATCATATTACAAATTTAGTATTAAAAAATACTTAGATAAATTTAATTTTCTTTGTGCTTCTGCACCTTAGTGAAAAAAATAAAGTACAAGCCCAGGAATAATTACTTTGAGCTAAAAGTAAAATTTATAAATAAAAGAACTTGCTTTAAGAAAAATTTTGTACTACATTTAATATTTAGGAAGTCGTTTTTATTTTTCTTTAGTACTTTTTTCCCAGAGCTATTTTCTTTTAACCTAAATCAAGGTTTTGAGGTTCTGTTATTACTTATTTTATTAATATAGCATTTTGATCACATGTTAAGCTTTTTATGCATTTTATCAACATTATAGCTTATATTCATAATCATCCCAAGGTACTGTAAGATTCTGACATGCTGCAACCTAAGGTAGCTATTTTCTAGTATATTCAAACATGTTTTATGTTTTGTAGTTTCCTGAAAGTGAGCAATCCTCCTAAAATAGCTTTTTTCCCACCTTGATATTTTTGTTGGAGTAATTAAATGTTCCTATTAATGACGTTTAGGAGATTTTCATTATTTGGTTCTTATATATATCTTAGCAATTACTCAATTATAACCAGTGGAGTCATAATAGAACAAAAACAGTTCATACATTTGTCATTTGGTATGTCTTAAAATTTAAAATTTTCTTTGTTCCCAATGAGTTATTATTCCTTGCAAAATTAAGTAAAATACAAGGTGGGTGAAAGACAGCTATTTCTTAGTCCAGGCATTTGTGAAAAATTGTATAAACCACAACAAATAAAAGTAAAGTCTTAGGTCTTGATTTGTTGATGTTACTTATAACTTAATTTACTCCAGGGAGGATTTAATATACCTTACAAAAGATATACTCAATAAAGAATAAAAGGAGGGAACACAGAAGTCATCTTGAAGGGGAAGTAATCATTGGGAAATGGATGAAGCTTACTTAAAATTAGAGAATTCAGGATGTTCCTTCATATTTGCTAGAAATGAGCAGAAATTTGCCTTTGAGTTTTATAGCCATCTAAACAGAATCCATCATCTCCATAAAATTAAAGCAGTTCTAAATAGATGTTCAGAGGAAGGCACATCTGTCTTAATGCTGTGAAATCCAACCTAGATTTCATAGTCTGTCAGTCCAATTACTCTTTTTCATGCTTGATATTTTTCTATGTAACCACCAGCAAGAGCCTGGGTAAATCCAAGTTTTTATTGCTTTGTAACTTTTCTTTTGGGAAAAACATACAACCAGATTGGTAATATTTCTCATGGTTAAAAACCTTCAGCTATTTTTTCAACACTGCCCATATCAGCTGTTTCCTGTTTTCTCAGTCCACATTTTCCTAAGTGATGGTTTCAAACTTAGTTTCACTCTCCTCAAAATTTTAGTCCTTCCCCTACTTCCCACTTCATTCTCATGAGATTGCTACAAGCTTTCAAAAGGGAAAACCCTCAATTTTCCCCTAAGAAACCAACTAGTCCTCTTGTGGTCTGCCTATACAGCCAGCTGTTTCCAGTAGATGGGAGGACCTGCCAGTGTAAGTTTGTTTTTCTACCTGTGTTTGATTCTCTCATCTTAATAAAAAAACTTTTAAAAATAATGTCTTTTATTTACTTTTTTTTTTTAAGATTTATTTATTTGTGCATACAGAACTGGGGTACAGGCCAGAGGCTCAGGGGTGGCGAGAGGCTTCACCAGAGACAGAGTGGGGAGCAGAACAGGCAGATCTGCGAAGTACACTGCTGAGGGGAGCAACGGGTGGGTCAGGAGAGGTCTGCCACACCATGTGGTCACCTCCGGGACAGGCGGGAATCGAACTCATGAGGAAGCGGCTTTAGATTCTCAGTGCTGTGCTTTAACCCACCGCGCCACCAGGGAGGGCCTTATTTACTTTTTTATATTAAATATTTCATTGGACTAAGAAAGAGGGCATCTTGAAAGAGTCAGTCCACATTGCCAGGCCCCAGGATCAAAAAGTCCATCCTGGGAAAATTCCATTTAAAGATGTATCTAGCTCCCCTTTTTTGGAAACCAGAAAAGGTTTTCCATCTGGTATAAACTAACTTTCTGTGGCCTTATCGCATCTAGCCTGTAGGCTACTCTATCTGAAGTCATCACTAACCTTATTTAAAGCAGATATCTTACCCCTTCTCATTTTGACCTTTTGGCACTACTAAGACTTTGTGTACATATCTTTGTTATTAAAATATGTTGTTCTCTTAGCTTCCTTGATACCACTGTCTTGACTGCTTTTTCGGCTTGCCTGGCTCACCAGCGCTCAGGTGCTCTTCATATTCTTTCCTAAGTTTTCTCACTGAGATAACTTTTCTTAGAAAATTCGGTTACAGTGGTGGCTGCCATTATGTGTATTTGATGAAGGATTCCCTAAGACATAACGGTCACACAATCTTCTTGCATGGCTTAGACCCGTTTGCTACACTGTTTGGTTGTCTGATATGCCCTTCAGATTCAGGACATTTTCAACAGAACTTAGCATCTCATCCATGCCCTGTCCTAGTTAGTTCTCGTAATATTTTTTCTACCTCTTAGTGTTTTTATCATTAAACACTAAACATCAAATAGGGTTTTCAGTAAGTATAGCTTATTTGGGAAGAGAACAAGATTTAACAGCCCCCTTTTAAAATACTTAATTTGCTTAGAATTGTATTGATTAGTGGGCACTCACTGAATGGTGTTCTGTCATAAGGCCTGTGTGTTCCTGTGTGCTCCTCACTCTATCTCTGCCCTTCTCCCTCAAACACTTAGATTTAGCATACCTTCCCCATGAAATTGCTAAAATTATGCTTAGGTGTAGTTGAAACCTCATCCATTATAGACTTGCTGAGATATTAAACAACACCTGCTACAGCCTTGTTTTACTGAGAATATTTGTTCCAAACGCTGAAGAACTAATTTGCAAATGAACTTGAAAACAAGTACTGTTTAGAAGCTGTATAGGCATACTGATGAGTTGTCTATAGAATGCTCAAGCACAGAGGGAAAGCTTCTGTTGGACACTGGGAGGTACACAGGTGGTTTAAGGGACTTTCCTGAAATTATATCACTAGTAAATTGCTAAACCAAAACTAGAATCCTGACTTTGAAATTTTTTTTTAGTATCCCTTTGAAATTTTCCCCTCATTACTGTGTTGTCCTTTGTTTCTCCTTAAGCATATCTCATTTCTTAATTTGTTTGGAAACTGATTGGCATTAGTGAAAGTAAGTGGTTCTTAATATACCTAATTTTGGCTGCATCAGGTAATTCATTTGCAAATGGTAGCACATCTTTAACTGGGCTCAGAAATTTATAATACAATATATATACTATTACTCTAATTACGTTTAAAAAGTTTTGTCAGCTCCTACCTCTATTGTAGACAGTAGAGCTTGAAGTAAGCTTTTTAGTAAAGAGAATCAAGTGACTTAAGAAGACATCATTTATAATGACTAAAAGGGTTGTTTCTCTTTATCTGATACCAAAAATTTGTTAGCTATAGATTTTGCTGCCTATTTCTAGTAAGAATAGCAACCAAGGTTGGCTATGGATAAACTACTGAGAAAATCTTTCCTGGCCATGTTTGAAAAACATCTTGGAAACATTTCAAAGGCAAATATTAATTGATTTTTCTCTTCCCCTTCTCTGTAAAAAAAAAATGTTAACTGTAATGTTTTATTTTTATTCACAGATTATTATAAGTATCGGCCTCATGTTTTATGTAGTCCATCGAGCTCAAGTGGAACTGAATGCAGCCATTGTAGCTTGCGAAATGGAAATGAAAACCTGTCTGGTTAAAGGCAATCAACCAAATACCACTGGCTCTTCCTTCTACAGCAAGAGGACCATCGCATTGTCTGGGGGTGGAATCAACATTGTATGACTCTAAGGAAATGTGTGATTTTCAAGATCCCAGTGTGCTGTCTAAAGTCTATCAGTCACCTTACTGGTAGGCAGAGACAAGTTCTAATTGTATTACGGCACAAACAAAACTGGTTAGTTTTTTACCTTGCACAATTTTTTAAAAGCAAGAATCCTTTTCTGGATATGTAAGTGTAAATGTAGATGCAATTTTGGCTGCACCCCTTTATCATTTGTATGCCTGTGATGGCCTACAGGTCTGCACTTTAGTGATTTTTTTGTTTTTTTAATTATTTTCTTTCTGGGAACTTACAGAGAAATAACCCAAATATTTTTCTGCCTAAAGTCTTTATTTATGAAATCCATGAATAGTTATATGCATCTTTCCTACTTAGAATGAGTAAACATACATGTTTTTAATTGTGTAATCTTACTAGGTGTTCTTTGCTTTTCATAGTCTTTCCAGAAAGGATAATCAGTGTTTTTTGTTTTGTTCTATTGCTTTAAAAGTGGGACCACTTTGCTTCCCTTCTCCTTACTAGACAGACATTAACTTTTGGTTGAATGTATATTTGCAAGCATCACATTGTTGCAGGGTCATTTACACAAGCTTAAATCCTACATTGTGGGACTGAAGTGCTCTTAAGATACCTTTTTATTTTCACTGTGTAATATGCAAAGCAAAAGGGAAATTATTTAATGGGTGGTGGCCCAAATTAGAACCTGCGTTCTAATTTCATTGCATTGGCTTTACCCTTGTTAGATCTTTCATCAAAGGGCTGTCCCATTGCAGTCTTACTAAAAACATTTTATTAAAATGAACTACTTTTTCTTTTTATATTCAAAATTAGGCTTTGAAATAAAGATATCATTTCTTTGAAATGGTGGGCTTTACCATCATTGACGATGTCACTCAGGTGGCCTTGTTTGATCAACACGCCTTTTCAAAAAACCAAGCTTTAAAATCATGTGTGTAATTCCATTAAAGTACATATATATTTGTCCCCATAGTCTTTAGCTTTAAAGTGTAAATGTAATGCTAATTCAATCCCCAGATTAGTATTACTTATCCTACCATAGAGTAGATTTACTTTGTTTTTGGTACTTGTTTTCTCTGGTAAGACTCAGGAATTCTGAAATGTGAAGTTATTTCTCCTGTAGCATGAATTGAGCATATTTATTAATAGCACTTAGGAATATAGCATACACAAATTGGCACATGATTCACAGATGGCATATGTATTATTCATTAATCACCCTGCTTTTTTAAAGTAATTTCATTGCAAATTTAACAATTATTGTTACAACCAAAATTATAGATAATGAGAATTTTCTAATAACTATCTCTTTCTTGGCTTTGAAGATTCCAGCTTATCAGAGACCTCCCACTTGCCTTTTCCTTAGGGTAAAAACTTTGCCTTGATTTATTAAAGTATAATACAGTATTTTGGAAGCAGGTTTATCTAGCCTTATGCTAGAGGTGATCATTTTAATGTAGGTGGTTTTTGAGTTTTTTAATTGTCTTATTGCAGATGCTATTATTCTTTTCTTTTGCAATGCATAAGTATCTTTATCCATACCAAGAGGACCACAGTGCAAATGATCTAAAGGGACTTGCGTCTATACCACATAATTGGCATCCAAACCTTTCTTTCTTTTATATTGGTAGAAAAATTGCATAGCGTTGGAATATTCTTAGTTTTTTTTCAAAATCTAATTACATGCTTAATTGTGTTTTTAAATGGTTTTAGCTTAACAATCCCACTGAACAATACATTTGGTTATTTTCTAACTTGACAATATTTATCTTGTGCTTTCTTGTTTGTTGGTTAGTTTTGTTAAAGAAATCATTGAGATCACTACTTTCATAGTTGGGATAGTTCATGTATTTTGAAGTACATTTATTTACTTAGCATTTTGTAACTTGAATAATTTCACCAAATGAATACCTTTTGGTAGCTTGTAATGAGTTCTTCCAGTTGTTGCATTTTGCTTGGTAATTTAAATAAATATTTAAAGGCAAAACAATTTTTCTGTATTCTGCCAATCATAATTTTATATAATAAAATCATCATTTTTACTTAAAATAGTATGGATTTACTGTTTCTAAAATATGAAACTAAAGAGGTAGCTTTCCTTTCCTTTCTCATTTCCACCTTCAAGTAAATAAATCCATTGTAGTCATGCTATTTGATGGCTGATTCTGGTGGTTGGGTTTTAGATACGCTCTCAGTAAATTGTACTACAGCATCATCAAGCCTTACTCACTCTACCTTTAACTCTGCTTCTCAGCTTTATGGCAGTAACAAACTTTTATTGGATCCTTTTATGTTTCCCAAATGTTGCTTCCAGTCATAAAGTGTAGATTTATAAAATAAATGGTTCTGGATTTCTCAAACTGTTTAAATGCAGTGTAAAGTTACTTTTCACACATTTTCAGAAGTATACAGAATACCTGATTTCCAAGTCTGATAAAAGGTATGTTCTTTTTAATTTGGGTGGGGGGGAGTCGTTTCTGAAATTTCCAACATTTTTTGGTTTATTGGTAATAATCTTGGTTACTCTTTGCCAATCTTATCATGTAAATTATCTTAAAATAGCCACTTAAAATGTATATAATTCATTGTGTGCTTTCATGTTCATTTTAATTTGACCTGACTTGTGAAATAACATGAAATTTACACTATTTGGCCTGTGAAAATAGGAGATGCAAATCTTTGTATATTTATTTCATAAGTGATTATGTGTGTTTGATCAGAGCCAGCCCTACCTTTCTTATATACTTTGTACCAGTAACCCCAAACTTTTGTAAGTTGGCTTCCCTTGATAGGATCAAGTGTTTGACTAAGATATTTTCCTCCTTGTGAAGCTGTTAATTTCAGTAACTCGTATTTACCATGCTGTAACTTAGTGGTGTAGCTGCAAGCATATTCCAGCATTTGTCAGTATGCAGTGCTGCTTTGGACTGTTCTTGGGAAAGGTGCTACAGCTTAATATGTGTCAATATTTGTTATCCATGACACTATCTCTAGATAGTGTTTGAGGAAGTCACTAGGTATGCGCCAGGTGGTGCAGGGAAATCCTTAGCTGCATAGTAAATCCATGCTGTTTAAAACCGAGTATTGACGTGGTTTATGTGAGCCTCAGGAACGACGACATGGTACTGACCTATGTTGACGGCCTCAGGGATGGAATACTGTTGCCCACAGAGGCCACTCACTGTATCAGAGTGGTGGTCAGTATAACGTCTGGCTTTAACAGTAGATATTGCTGACTTCTGTTATAATAAACTACTCAGAATATAGTTTTTTTAAGGTTGGTATCTTTACTTTGAAAAGCCTTTAAGGAAGGGGAAGGAATCACCTGTTCCACAGAAAGTTTAAAACTCAGGAGTTCCAGTAACCTCACATACTGAATATAAACTGTTATCTTATTCCAAAACTAAATTATAACCTGGTATTTCTGAATTGAAAAATGATTGCTGCAAACTGTTTTCTAAGGTAGCTGAAGATTTTAAATAGATTATTCTAAAGGTTAATCAGTAAAATCTCTTGATAATTGGTATCCTAGATCACTTGTGTGCCTGAGAAAATAAAAGGTAATGTTTTATTTTCCTTCTCTCTTCTCTTTCTTTCCCTCTGTACTGTGTATAGAGATATGTCCTGTGGGAGGGAGAGATTCTGGGGGAAGAGGAGATTCTCCCAAGAAATGCCAGTTACGCCTCATGGTAGAGATTGTCACGGTTCTCAGAGAGAGCCTGTGGAGCAATGATTTTGATGCCTTACATCTCACTCATGCTTCCGTTTGGGGTATCGTTTCTTTTCCTACTACCCCCTAGTCATAAAATCCTACCTGCCAGTCAAAAGATTCTTAGTCATTTGTCCCAGGCTGCAGTAATGTGTCTGATACCATTCAAAACACCCTCACCTATTGGTTCTACCCTTTTTTAATGATTGATTCCTTGAGGGAGCATTCAGCTGCCATAAAACTTTATCTTGGTACCCAGAATAATATTTGTTCCTGTTTATTTCTAGTAGGTCCCACACTGGCAAATGTAAACCTTGCGTAGCCATTTTAGGTTAAATTGTTAGAACATGAAATGGAGACACTGCAGGGGGTAAATGTTGCAGGAAGCTTCCAGCAGCAGTGTTGGAGAGGGAGGCACCAGTGTTGGTAGAGCACATGCTCCCTGTTTTTTGCCCTGCGCCCTCGCTCTTGTCTGAGTGCAAGAAACATACATAAATAGTATACTGTGTTATGAGTTAAGTATTGGACACGTTTGGGGCTAGCATGTGCCTGTGGGTATTTCCATGCGTGTGTATATGGTCATTCTGTATTTATTCTGCTGTGTTTCAGCAAAGCTGATTACCCAAATTGAGTAGCTAATCCTACTGTCCACTGGATGTTACCAACGAGTAACTAATTTTACAAGTAGCTAATCATCTGTAGGGCTGTCTGCCAGATGTATGGCTTAAAAAATACAAAATATGTAGAGAAGCTGAATAGAAGAGAGCAAGTGGAATATATATTGGCCAAAACAGAATAATTTGAAAACTATAAAAAGTCCTTGAATAGATATACAATGAATGGTATGTTTTAATGTAATTGATTAACCTGATGAATCACGACTACCATAGAGTAGTAAATATCAAATGGACTTCTTTGGTCTTGTTTCTCCTGGTTATAAAGCCATTCTCAATAGGAATATTTTCAGGCACAGCCTGATTCATTCTCATTATCTCTAAGAGTCCTACACTGTGTTGACCTCAGCAGCAATGACAAGGAACTGAGTAGTTTTCCACTCAATTTTTCAGCTCATTACTCTGATTTTAAGTTAATGAACTGATTTTGTGTCATCACATTTTATTTTCAATATATAAAGGGCTTTGCTTGGGAGAGATGTGATAACAGCACATCCAGTTTTTAGATGGACTTGGGACAGATTCTGATTTAAGGGCATCTTCCTTCCCCACTTGTCTGCCGGTGTCAATTGCCTGTTGGGTGCAGATGAGGCTTTGCTCGCTGGCAAGTTTTCTCCCTAGATGATAGCACAAATATGGAGGAAGGACTGAAAACACTCCACATCCTGGGAAGACTTTGCTGTGAAATCTGTGGGCTTCTGAACAGATGTTTGATACTGGCCTCGCCAAAATATGTCAATTCTCCCTAATCTCCAAGAAGCTGAGAAGGAACTGAATGGCCTGAGTCTTCCCGCAGAGCAGGAGAAAATTCACAAACACCATGACAGAGCTTCCTGCAAACATCCTCCTTGGAATCCACAGCTGGCTGTTCCACATTTTCCCACTGGCATTCCTGATATCCAGTATTAAATGCAGCATTGTTCATATGTGTCAAACAACTGTAAACACAGTGAACACAGTTCAGAGATCAGTGGCTGAACAAATCACGGTATATACTCACACTGACATTAGAAGGGAAGAACTAGCTATATGCCAATAAGTTAGAAGGAGTCACAGGAAGTAGTGCTCTATGAATGAAATGAGGCAGAAAACTAAATAAAAATACTGCTTTTTTGAGGAGATGGTTTGTCTTCCTTTTCTATGCATGTAAGTTTCTATACATGAGTTTGTGAGCATGTGAATATATGCTATCCCATAAAGGAATAGGAAAAAAGTAGGGAAGGAGTCTTGTTAGTTTAAGATGGATTACTTTAAGATGGATTAGTTTAAGATGGTAGTAGAGAGCTGGATTGGGAGCTTTAATGGGATGGGGTAAAGAAAAAGAATGAAAAGAAAAACCAAAAAAATTTAGGGAAAAAAATGTACTAACTTAGAAAAATAAGTAAAATGAACCTCTAGTCCTTTCTTTGGCATGGTGGAATTCATCCTTTTATTAAAATATTCCAATTAGTAGTCATTTTTGCTCAAGTACTTAAAGTGATGTAATGCCTAGTTGCCCTCTCTCAAGCCAGCTGCCAGGATTCAAATCCTAGTACACTGCTTCTTGGATATGTGCTTCTGAGAAGTTAAGTAGTAATTTCGCTCCTCTCAGTTTACCGACGAGCAGTGTCCTCACCTGGATAACAGCTTATCTATGTGTGGGGTAATTATTAGTTTTAAAAAGGTTAATACAGGTTAAATGCTGAGAGCAATGTCTGCAGGTAGTGTGTACACCATCAGCATTTGCTGATACTAACAAAACCCAACCTTTTAGGAGTTGAGAAATACTTCCAATATTTGTGGGAAAGTCTTAAAAGCAAAGGAGGCCCTCTTGAGGTATAATGGGTTAAACTGAAGCACTATGAAGCTATCTGCAGCCACCGCAGCATGAGTTCCATCCCTGGCCAGGGAGCTGACCCACATGGTGCAGCAGACCTCTCCTGTCCCACCCGCTGCTCTCCTTAGCAGTGTATTTCAGTCTATTGGCCAGTTCTGTTACCCACTCTGGTGAATCCTCTCATCTCCACATCTTTGGCCTGTACCCAGTTCTTGTATGCATGAATAAATCTTAAAAATATAATAATAAAAGTGAAGGAACAATTGCAGTAAATTTGATCAGGTCCATGCAAAGTTTTACACTATAGAAACAGGAGGGTGAATTAGAAACAGGAGTTGTGGCTGACACTGAGCACTGGGAGTAGGGAAAGGAGCCGGTATTGGGCCGTGGTCCATGGTTAGTGTTAACTGAGTTGTGCTTAGAAGGATACATAATTGTCCAAGGGAAAAGGAGAGGTAGGGGCATCCCAGGGATACCAGCACAAGAAAGCAATGTAAACAGTTCAATTCAGTTAGACATAGAGGGAACTGAGGAATATTGAAAGATGGAGTGAGTGAGTGTGTGTGTGTGTGTGTGTGTGTGTGTGTGTGTGAGAGAGAGAGAGAGAGAGAGAGAGAGAGAGAGTTTCGTTTCTATAAAGTATTAAGATATTAAGTTTGGCCTTTATCAATCAAGAAGACATGATTGAGTCTGCATTTTAAATCAGGAATTGGAGTCAAGACTATCGATCTGAATCAAAACTGACCTGGGTAGAAATGAAGGCCACAAGAAAGACATTAATAATACATACTAAAATAGTAATAATAAAA